TTTTGTCTTTTTACGTCGGCTCTTTACTGATCATCCAGCTTGTCCAGAAACTCCATAGAGGAAAGCTGAAGCCCTCTATTTAAATCTCTTCCCTGCGGTAAAATAAGAATCTTTGACACTAGGGTGGTCGAGTGTATATCAACCAAGCTAAATTAAGTGTCAGTAACCACTTTTTGAAAATTATACATCAAATAAATCCTTTCCAGCTGCTAAGTTGAGAAAAAAATTATAAGATGAGTTAACAACAGCAAAAAATGCAGTCTTCCCCAAATCCAGAAAATTTGAGGGGAAATAAATGCATTCACCAGACCCATTTTGTGTGAGGAGTGTTTTCAGTGTTCATTTCAGAGATAAGCCATACAAATAAAAGGAAGATGATAGGGCCAGGAAACTTCTTTCCTACGAGTGCGCCAGCTGCTGAAGTGCTGCCCAGAGTTGAAAGGTCAGCAGGCATCTGTGGCAGACGTGCTTCGTGATGGTAAACACTTGGATGCCAAAAGTGGTTCTGTTGACAGAGAGTGCAAAATTGAGGTGAGAAATAGAAATGTGAGGGAGCTTCACTGCTGGGAATCTTATTTCATGTTTGAGCACAATTAACCAGCTGATAAACAGGCTTTTGTTTTCCATATGAATGGCCAATGGCATTCATTCGGGACACTATCTTGTCAAATGGACAACAATAACAATAAAGTTTATGTGTCTTGGCTCTCTTCTCCTCGAAAACCTGTAGTAACCTCGTGCTTTGGAGTCAAGAACCTGAACCGAGCATGCAAAATAATTATCTTCCAGAATCCACCTGATGATGAGGCGATGGAAGATTGTCTTGCTTTGAACTGGAAATGGGACTAAAAATCTCTTAATTTCAATGAGTCTTAATTTTAGTGGAATTAGAACAGGCTTGCAAGCTCTAGTATTCTCTGTGCCACATGTTCATATATTTAAACTTCAAGAAGAGATACATGATCATATTTCAAAAGTTATTCTAAATTTTCAAAAGCACATGACACTGTCTTCTTATCTGAACTGTCTTAAAGCCATTTTCTAAGCCCTTGTTACTGACAAAAGGTGAGAACTTTTCAACATTACTTAGTGTTTTATCACAAACTGTAAATTCTTCATCTTCACTTTCTTCTCCTCAATCATACGTTTTCCAGTGTGCCACGTTCATCTCTTTTTTTTTTAATTTTTCTAAATAATAAGATCTTCTGTTCCTGTTTTGGCTTAATGAAGATGACATATGGTTTTAGTGCTTTTTTTCTCATGGTGATGATTGAAGAGCAAAGCCACCTATATCCTCTCGCTTAGTTTCCCTTGAGAAGAATGAACAAAGTGAACTGTGTAGCTTAGTAACCATGAAACACATTTCCTGTATAATGTTCACAACTTTGGCAAGGTGAAATTGTCATTGTACTGCAACTTCTGGTAACGTTGGTGGAAGAAAGGAAATTACGTTATTAGCTTTCATGTGTTGACTCAGACACATCTAGTTCAGTTTAAGAAAGCAAATCTGTAGACTTTCATTTATCCCCCCAATAAATATTTATTGATTACTACTATGTGCTCTTTACTTGAGGATAGACTTATGAAAGATGTATGGCTTCAGTCCCCAAGGACTGAGTGACCTGGCATGTTGGGTTGTCCTGGTAGTAGTAGTGGTAGACAGTGCTGATGACTGGTGATGATTTTGGTTTGTTGAGGAAGAATTGTTGAGAAGTAAATATATCACCTGGGATTTGTATATATATATATCCCCTGGAAAATCCACACTAGTTTAACCATTTAACCTATTTCATCTCTTACCATAGAATTGCCTAACTTTTTTTTTAATTGATGTATTGTTGATTTACAGTATTGTGTTAGTCTCTGGTGTACAGCATAGTGATTCAGTTATACATAAATATATATATTTCTTTTCATATTCTTTTTCATTATAGGCTATTATAAGGTATTGAATAGAGTTCCTTGTGCTATACACTAGGACCTTGTTGTTTATCTATTTTATATATAGTAGTTAGTATCTACAAATCCCAAACTCCCAATTTATCCCTCCCCATCCCCACTCCTCCCTGCCGGTAACCAAAAGTTTGTTTCTATGTCTGTGAATTATCTCTGTTTTGTAAATAAATTCATTTGTGTCATTTTTTTTGATTCCACATTTAATGATATCATATGGTATTTTTCTTTCTATTTCTGGCTTACTTCACTTAGTATGACAATCTCCAGGTCCATCCATCCATGTTACTGCAAATGGCATTATTTCATTATTTTTTATGGCTGAGTAGTATTCCAATATATACCAAAAACATCCTTATCCAGTCATCTATTAATGGACATTAGGTTGTTTCCATGTCTTGGCCACTATAAATAATGCTGCTATGAAAATTGAGGTGCATGTATCTTTTCAAATTAGTTACCTCTAGATATATGCCTAGGAGTGGGATTGCTGTATCACAGGGTAAATCTATTAATTATTGATGCCTATCACTCTTAAATCTTATTTATATTTTAATGAGCATCAAGGGTCTCAAAAATTTCAAAGTCCAGGCATCCAATGGTGGGATCAAACTTTAATCAAATATAGGAAACTTTTCTCCTTCTCTATCTAGGAAAGTACTTCATGCTCTATAAGAAAAATGCTCATTAGCATAAAGGATATAATTTGCTGGTGGAGATGGGACATGTTTATATATAAAAAGTATCTAAATAATGACATACGTATGTGCACATGATGCTCCTGCACATTCATATACATATAGGTGTGAATCAATATGGTACAGATCATGTATAAAAAGTGACACTTCAATTCTAAATAGTGAGAGTTAGTCATAGAGAGAGGTCATTATTATGTTCAGCATGAAGTACTGAACTTACTTTAGTAAAAAAGAAAGAAGAAGTTACAAATGTTCTCAATAATGAAAGCAGAAAAAGAAAAGAGAAACAATATCAAGAGCTTAATCTGGTGAACAATTTTAGGAAATAGAATAGCCACCCAGCACTTTATCTCCAGCCAAAGAATTGGCATACAGCACTGTTTTCTTTAGCTTGAAATCTTTATGATGAAGAATGACTTACTAGGAATTTTTTTTTCCGATAACAATTACCTTTACAGTATCAATGAGTCGTGACTTCTCTCATTTAGCAGTCCTATAGTTCACCCGTTAACTGCACTGGCTAACTACCTATTATGAACCGAGAAGTATTTGTTGACTTTTATGTGACTAGCCTTGAGCCAGGTTTCAGAGAGCAGAGCAGAAATGTAAGACATGATCCTTTCCCACAAGGCTATTCTGAAATTACTGGGAATCCTACTCTCTGGCAATATATTTGAAAATATAATTACTGGTAATATGGAAAAGGACATGTGTTGTTGCTATAGGGAGACAGGGCTTGTATCTAAACTTTAGGGAAAAACAGCACCAGCAAGGGGCCCTGCTCTGGCCTGTGTCTTAGGGGCGCTCTGCACTTTAGAATGCCTTCCATTCAGTTTTTTTCAGATTCCTTCTGGGGGCTAGGACCTACAGGGTGCCTTCCACAACAGATACCCTGAGAAATACTGTAATCTGATCACATGAGATTGACCTACCCGAATAATGCCGACGTGTTGATTTTGACTGAATCTTACTCACTTTGAATACAGGATCAGTTTAGGGCCCTGGGCTACTGTTAGTCCACCTCTAACCCTTGGGCTTGAGCCCTTCATGTGGGCCAGACGGTGAGTTCTCACCTCTGTGTCCAGGACACGAGGCCCCTGTGATCTACAGCATCAGATGGTGGCAGGGACAGCAGCAGACGCCCTTGGCTTTGTGCACAGCTCTCCTCCCAAGTTGTAACCTCTTCCTTCCACAGGCGTTGCGCTACATGTCTGGCAGATCTCTGGGAGTGGCTATGCCTGCTGCCTCTGAGGGCTTGTTAGAATCTTGCTCCCTGACGCTCATTAGCCCCTCTGATCGAAGTTTTCTCTTGCCTCTGATGGATGTGGTGACATACTCGGCTGGGTTAGCCTTAAGCTTTGCTGGAAATGGGATGGACACTTCCTTGTGTGCATAGGATCATCTTTCTTGGTCAACTCATAGGATTCTCACCAATAAGCCTCACTGGCAGTGGAAGTCAGGGGTATGGTCCACGTTGAAGGGTGTTACATACTAGGAATGCAATGATTTTAGTTAAGATTTTGAGGGAAGACATATTCTTCTGAATATGTCTTATGTGTTATTCTATGTTTAAGCTATAAAATTCTGTATAGCAAAACTAAAATGACAGAAAATGAATAATCATTCACACTTTCCTGCATACTCTGGGAAGGATTTGCATTTATCTGTGGTCCTCTTCAATGGAGCAGTTACAACCTTGGAGAGCACCAGGAAGCCATCGGCTGACGTAGCATCATGACTAATGATGTAACTAAATACATGGTATCAGGGAACTGTATCAGCAAGAAAAATTTATATTGTTTCAGTACAAGGGCATTCTGAAGAGCTATGGCTTTGCAAATAATAATGGCATAGCCTTCTTTTTCATGTATTGTGAGGTCTAAAATTATTTAGGCAATGAATGACACATTGGACAGTGAGGAACATGAAGAGATTGTTCCTGGACCTGAACAGGAAGAGGTAGTGACTGGATACTTTAAGAATAATCTTCATACAAACTGATGGGACAATAGACAAATATGTAACTTCTCTGCCCATTGGTCCAAGTCTCTTCACTTCTACCTCCTGTGGGCCCATGCATTTTGTAATACATTTTAAATAGAATTATTTATATAAACATAATTCAGACATTCACAATAGTCAATGCTCACCCACTGGGTGCTCCATGCTACATATTTAGACACATTTGAAAACTGTTCAAATGAATGGAGTACATACATTGATCTTGTCCCTGTGCCAGCGTCCACTACTGACAGTGCAACTTCTTTTGAGCAAGTGTCATGATTATTACCTTAATTAATACTTTATTTCACTGTAAATGTTAGCTTTTAAATTTTATGTGTCCTAAACGCTTTGATTCTTTCCCCCAAAACAGTTAGTCTCGGTTAAAATCCCACCACAAGGAGAAGTCATAATCTAGAGTACGATTACCTAAGAATTCAAAGTTATAAGATTTCTGCATGTTTTATGATCCTGGTTTAACAGGCAAGGAATGAACACTATGATAATACCAAGAAATTAAAAAAATTAGTAGTAATAACTTTAATATCTTGTAGTAACCTATAAGGAAAAAGAATATAAAAATGAATAGATGTATGTATATGTAGACTGAAACATTATGCTGTGCACCAGAAATTGACACATTGTAATTGACTATACTGCAATTAAAAACAAAACAAAGCAAACAAAAAAACTTAGCACAGAGTCTGGCTGAGAAAAAAAACCTCTAAATTTGAATTCAATTTCTTATGAAAATTAATCTTCAATTTCCTTAAGCAATTTTTTAAAGTTTCCTTGTTTTCTTTTACTTCTCTCTTTTTGAGTTTTCTTTTTTGAAAGAAAATGTGAGAAGTTGTGATGATTTCAGCTGAGTAAATTTCTTATGTTTTAATGGTAAATTAAATAATTTAAAATAAAACTACAGATGAAATAAATCATTCAGTCTAATGTTTCCTCCATTATAGTAAAAAGAATTTTTTTTAGGCACCCAGCTGTCCCACTGAGTATTTAGAATTTTTAACGGATCATTTTATATATTTTAACTTTTTGTGTCAGAGGCCACATGCAGAAGGATAGACTCTTGTAAAATGACCCAGGAAAATTCTCTGATCAGACTTGATGCTTGTATTCATCAAATAGTGTTTGCTTTCAAAAGAATTATTATACTTCCAGCTTGCTTGCCTTGGGGAATGTCAATTAAATCCAAATTATTTTATGACAGAGATTTTGCCATTTTTAGAGACAGGGTAAGTGAACTAGAAATGACAAAAATCAAATGAGAAATGAAAAAACAAAGTTTGATATTTATCTGTAAGTTGCTTATCTTTCAATTAAGCATTGGTTTACCCTTGCCAAGTGTCCCCATTCACAGACGCCTATTAAAAAACAAGCTGTTTCCATTTTCTGCTAGTTCACAAGTTAGCTTCTTTTAATGCACGCTTGTGTTTAGGGCTTTCTAAAGAGCCTTGTGTTATCTCTGTATCTAGCACTTATAAAGAATCACTTTCAGCGTGTGTGGCCTGGTTCCTAACAGTCTATCAATTCATTGAATTTCCTGAATTTCAGGAAAAACACCAATTGATTCTTCATGCTCCCTGGCAGAGTAAGTCTTAATTTTTGTCTGTTTCTTCCCAACACCAATCTTAAGAAGAAAAGGTTTTCCTTACTTTGGGTTTACTGAATCATACATCACCAAGAACATTTTAAAGCATTATTTTGTCTGTTACTTAAAGTGGAAAATGCTGTCCCTTAAGACACTGGCACTCTGCCACTTGCCTCCAGAATATTTTATGGTTCAGTGTCAGAACTGCTGCTTTTTCTAGAAGAACATATGGGCCACTTTGGAGAAGTTTTCTGCAACATTCAGATGCTGAACATATATCTATGGACATTTGGTCTCCAACAAATATTTTTTTCTGAAATTTTAATGCTTAATGGATTGTTTGGAACTTACTAAAAAGTATATTAAAGCATGATTACACCAAAGAAGGCTTGTGAATTGGAAGTAGAAGGGACTAAATATAATTGATGCAAAGTTTAGCATTATTAGAACGCAAAAATGTATTTTCTTCTTTGAACTATTTACCTCCTCCTCTTCTCCCTCCCCCTCCTCCTCCTCTCCTTCTTCCTCCTCCTTTTCAGTAAATTCAAATAGTCACTAGAAAGTATTTAGAGTGAGGGGGAAAATCATCCTGTACTTTGTGATGTTGATAAATATGTCATCGGACTGTGGTAGGCGTCAGTACACATTTGAGGATGCTGGGTCATTAAAATTGCATCCAGTCAATCTGGGACTACCTCACCAGAATTGTTGTGTAAACACTCTTCTCACTAAAACACCTGTTTGGACTGATTGTGTATATTTTGAGTCAAAGGAGTCACATTAAATGCATTTAAAACAAATACTTAAAATTAAAGCATTCTGAATGGAGGAACAAAATGGAACTCTACGAAAGAAGAGTTTCCCCCATCACTTCATGCAACATAGTACATTGATAACTAGAACTGGCCGGATTCTAGTGGAAACAGACTAATTCCTTATATTACTGTTGTACCAGATTGTCTCTTTGCTGGTTATTTGGTGAGCAACTCATTTGATTTGCTAAGTTGTGGAGCTAGTTGGCTCTTAAATGAGAGCTAACCTGCAAATGGTTCTATGCTGATGAAGGATGAATGGAGAAATAAAAGAAAATAAAACAAGAGAGTAACAGTCATGTTCTACATCTGGAAATGATTAGTGACCCCATAGTCAGGGACTTCTGCGTGGAAGCTCTTCTGCCCAGACAAACTTGGGATCTTTCCAGGTCCTGAGGAGCTGAGGAGTTGGATAGGACAGTGGTCGTAATGGTCAGAGAAAGATAAAAAGGGAAAGATCCTTCATGTCATCACAGAAGACATGAGATCAGAGATAGCTTACAGAGGCTGCAACCTTTGGGGAAATTCGAAGTATGTATGGCCATTCCACTTCAGTTATTTGATTCTTCCTGTTGTTCAAATATATATGTGTATGTCAAATGGGATATATGTATATATCATCTGGTTGTCATCTTGTTCTGACTGTATGTGTCATTTTGCCACTTGGCCGTGACAATAACCAGCATGAGGCACAGTCATCTCTGGACTCACCATATGGTTAGTGGCAGCCACTTGCTCCCTGAAGACTGCTTTAAAGGGCAGGGCAAAGGGATGCTTGGGAAGGATTCCAGAAGGCAGCAGTCTGGAAAACAGCAGTAACCCTGATCACTCGAGCCCCGTGGGAAAACAGTATAGATCCATTCACTCCGGGGGCACAGAGCACACAGGAGAGACAATGAGAAGTGATTTGCTCGCCCTCCCCTTCTAAAGGCAAAGTAAAGGGGAAAAAAGTCACACTTGTTGAAAAAGGTTCTAAGTGGCTGTTCAGTTGCCTGATTGATGATTGGTTAGAATATTTCATTTTCCCATAGACCACAATGTGATTATGTACATATGACCCACATTATATTGAAATAGCATTTGTCTTTTAAGTTAGTGTGTTCACATTAAAATTTGGTGAACAAAAGTATAAATGTATCTTTAGGAAATCCCCCAAAAGATCTATCCACAGAGGGACTTGAGAGGAAAGTGATACACTGCAGCCTTTTAATATATCTGCCAGTATCTACCCCTCTAACCATGACCTTCTCACGCCTGATTTCTCCGAGCCATTTCATGCTTTCATTTTTGCTTATCCTGAGACATATAACTTGGAGTTAGAACTTACAGTACAACACATGGTAGCGTCTCGTGAGAGTGTTTACCAGATGCAGGCAACCATTTACATATTTCTAATCTGGAGACACACCTTTGAATTCTATGTTTAAATATGTGTTACAAGCAACATGTTCTATGTTTATTCAAAGATTCTCAAATCTGGAAATGTATTATACAGTAGAACTGAACCAATTTTAAATCCAACTACCCCAGGAAGCCCAAGATACTCAGATGACCTATACTTAGAATGTACGCGCATATTGGTACCCCCTCACACACAGGCAGAATGATCCTCAAAACATGTGTTTTGAAAGAGAAATTATTAGAGGAGTGGGGAGGGGTAGGTACTCTGCTGTATTCAAGTCAGTAAAGTGTATCATTATCTTTGATTTTTTCAAAGGGAGTTTAGTGTCCAGAAATACTATGAAGACCTTGATATAGTGAAGTCTCACCTGTGACACGATCCTTTGGTATTTCCTATGTTTTTGCCCTTCACGTTCAAAAATGGTGCTTCTGATGGTGTCAGTGTATTTGTCAGATCTCCGTCCATCAATAGGCATCATGCTTGGCTTGTTTACACAAGCCCTGACTTACAGGGAGCACTGGCAGCCACA